GAACTTACCAGGCATAAAATTCAAGGGAGTTATTATTTTTTGTTAATCCTTTACTCTTTGATTGCGGTTAAAATTCATTTTTCTTTATTCTTATTCAGTCATGTAAATTCTAATAGGCCCCCAAGCACATTGCACCCTACAAACCCTTTATAAAATAGAGGAACCCCCCTCCCCTTCAAGCCACGGAAATTTTACATCATGAGAGCAAACAGGAGTTGGAAAAATTGTGAATTTATGTTTTTACCAACTGAAATCTCCCAGTAGTAGAAGATCACTCTGAAAATTCTGACGACTGACAACTTATCTTCCGGGTAGATTTGTACAATAACGCTCTTTACAAATTAGAATCAAACCATTAACATGGAAGAGACTATTCTGTATGCGGAAAGAAACACCGATGTCTGAGTAAACCCACGTGTTCAATGCGATTGGTATGTTTTCTCGTGGACTAGTCTCTGTAAATCACGTTCATTTACTTTGGACAGGAGTCGACCATATTATTAGATTGCAAAGTGATTCAGAGTTAACTTTATAACTTGTTTATGGACAACTACGCACGACTCTACACGTGGCACTTATTGGCTCCCAATATATGACAATCGATAATTTGAAATGAGGAAGAAAACGAATACATAAAGAACATTAAATACCAACCAACGATCATCACAATATAAAATCTGTTTTAGGATGCCTGAACACTTATTAAAAAGAACAAACATCTCAGCACGATCTCTAGTGTCTTATTACGATGATTAATTCTTTAAAATTATTTAATTCCATTGTGATAAACTTTTCGAAGTAACTGTGCTAAATCCGCTGAAGTGTTTCTAGTAGCTATAATTTAACAGCAGATAAATAACAAGTTAGAAAAAACAATAATATTATACAGTTAAATCACAATGTAAAACAAATATATATTGCAAGAGGGCTTAATGCAAATTGAAAGAGATTCTGAGACTGTGTAAACAGATTTGTTCTGCCAGATTACTGTGTATTTAGGAAAAAAAAATTGCACACAGAAAATAATCCTATGTACAACACATTTAAAATACTTTCGTCCAGTGTTCTCCGTGTCTAGCCTGGTTTCTAGGTGACCGAAACCTCTTTTAGTGTAAAAGCGATCAATGTCCATAAGTTCTTCGTTGCATGGCAATCGATCACTTCATATTTATACGCAGTTTATTTATGTGTCTACGCGATGTATAAGATATAAGTAATTATTGTTTTAGTCA